ACATTTTATTCCTTGTCATAAATCTGATGATGCCAAGCATGTAGCTGATTTATTTATGCGTGAAATTGTTAGATTGCATGGTTTACCTAGAACTATTGTGTCTGACAGAGATGTTGGATTTTTGAGCTACTTTTGGAAAACTTTGTGGGGAAAACTAGGTACAAAACTGTTGTTTTCAACAACTGCTCATCCTCAAACAGATGGCCAGACGGAGGTGGTTAATCGGACTCTTGGTTCATTGCTTGGTGTTTTGATCCAAAAGAATCGTAAGAATTGGGAAGCTTGTTTGCCTATTGCTGAATTTGCATATAATCGTGTTGTGCATTCTACTACCAAATATTCTCCGTTTGAAATTGTTTATGGATTTAAACCCTTAACCCCTTTAGACTTGTCTCCTTTGCCTGTTTCTGATTATCTTAATGCAGATGGAGCCAAGAAAGCTGAGTATGTACATTCTCTTCATGAGAAAGTACACATGAATATTGTGAAGAGAAATGAGCATGTTGCGCGAATTGCCAACAAGGGGCGTAAGGAAATGATATTCGAACCTGGTGATTGGGTTTGGGTTCATTTAAGGAAAATTCGATTTCCTACAAAGGTTAAATCAAAGTTAGATCCTCGTGGAGCTGGTCCTTTCCAAGTTATCAAGCGTTTGAACAACAATACTTATCAACTTGACCTTCCTGGTGAGTATAATGTTAGTGCAACTTTTAATGTTTCTGATTTATCTCCGTTTGATTTCTCAGATGCTGAAGCTGTACAAGCTTTGGATTCGAGGTCGAATCCTTTCGAGGAAGGAGGGAATGATGTGAACATCCATGGTAATCAAGTCCAAGATGATCAAGGTGTTCGGGTTCGAAATACTGTCCAAGCTCAAAAAGTGGCTCAAGATCTATTATCCAACATTGGAGGCCCAATGACTCAAGCTAGAAGTAAAAGGATGAGGAGTACACTTAATAGTCTTATATCAAATGGTTTAGCCCAAGAGAATGTCAAGTCTGGAAGTTACAAACCCAAGATTATTAATGTGTTACGAGCCCCATTTGAGGAAGGAAATTTCGGCCCACAAACCAAGCAAGGGAGGCCAGGCCTATCTCCTACTTTTTAGGAGTTGAAAACTCTATCTTTTAGGGATAAAATCATTTAAATCTTATCACACTTGTGGAAGGATATGATTTGGAAGATTCCCTATCTTTTAGACATAAGATCATTTAAATCTTATCACATGAAAGGATAAGATTTGATATGATTCTCTTTTATCTAATTTAGAGTTTATTCAAAATAAGAAGTTTATTCCTTGGTGTCTACTCTCAACCGTTGGATGGATATTAGATCAAGATTGGATGGCTATGATTACTCTATAAAGAAGATATTGATAGAGTTGACAACTCAGGAAGATTCTTTTCAAGATAAGGATAAGATTCTTTTGAGAGAATATCTCTTTGTATTTGGAGTTTTATTTTCATTAGACTAGTGTGTCTTAAGTCTATAAAGGTGTCTAGATACATTGCCTTAATAGATAAGACACAAGTTGTCAATAAGAGGTTAAGTTGATTTCTAGTTCTTTAAAGTAGGAATAAAGTTAGAGATCAAACTCTTCTCCTACTTCATAGGAGAATTTCGGCCCCCTCTACTATAAATATGGGTGTTTGGCCAGCATTTCATTTGTACCTTTGATGAATTATTTCAATATTAGACGAGAGGAAACTCTTTATTCTTTTTCTACTCTTTTCAAAGATTAGTGCATTGCACACAAGCTTGTGCTTTGTTGATGCATGCGAGTAGAATAGGTGTTTTTCTACTTGTGGAGCTTTGTTAGTTGTTCATTGGAGCCTTTTCGCTAGCCGTTGTATCCATAAATCGAAGGGATAGGGTTGTTAGAGAGGTGACCGATTGGGTTGCTAACCTTAAACACTTTCTACATCTTCTAAACCTTTCCATCCCTTTTTGGTGTAAATTTTTGTGGTTTGCATCTCTTCTTTTCTTTTAATTTTCGTGAGTTGTGGAGTCCATAATATTGGATTTGCAAGTTTTCAAGTCCTGGGAAATTTATAGCTTCCGCGTCGAGGTAAATCTGCCACCTTTGCCTCAAGATTCATATCATACACTATCAAAAGCTAAGGTACTTCCTGCTAACGATTAACAGTCTGAATATGAATTTATTGTTTTAGGAAACAAGAGACCGAAGGTATTTTTTTCCTTTGCTCAAATAACTTCTTTTCTTTAATGCAATGTCATTCTCTTATATATGACTTAAGAATGGAATACCATTGTAAGTATGACTTAAGAATGTCTACTACTATGTACTACTTCAGTACACAAAAACACACTACACATGCTTAAACTTTTTTTTTTCTTTTAATGAATGTTAAATGACAATTGCAATTTCAGTTATTCCAATAGGGAGTATGGTAGTAACATTGACAAATTTTATTAAGCTTCCAGCTATTGAATCGTTTTACACCCCTGCCTCCTGTCGTGGGAACTTATTAATAATACTCCGTAAATCAAAAAGTTTAGATGAAGATAATAATCAATCAGAGAATAGCAAGTTCCCCTCACTTTTTTGTTTTTCAGCACCATCTTCATTAAATCATTGCCTGTGAGAATAGAGTGGTCGTGTTCTGCTTCGGCCAACAAGCAGCACCAGCAAAATGTATGTAATGATGGGTTTGCAGACAAATCCATTTGCAATGCCAAGTAGCGGCGGAGTAGGATCGATGAAAATGGAAGCCAATGAAGATTATGAATAGGTTCATTTTGAATTGTTGTAGATATCAAGTTTATATATGTGTTATACTATATTTGACAATGTTGGATAGACAATTAGAGAAGTTAATTGTGATGGACCAGTCACTTAGGGATGGAAACCAGCTTCTCAACTTTGCAGATGCTCTGTTAATATTTTTTTCAAAAATAAATAAATAAATTGAAAGTTAATCAATATAGATAGAAACCGTTTTGAAAAGAGGTTACAAAATGTAAAACCTTTTAATAATTATCAACTAAACATGAAGTTTTAGCTAAATATTATCCTCTTATTATTATTTTTTAAAATATTATTATTTCAGTAAAAGTTTAAATGCCAAATCTCCTTGTGATAACAGTTTTTATCCAATATAAGTAAGTTTATTGAAAAAAATATATGTTTAGAACTAAAATTCAAACGACTATCAACAACCACTAATAAGAAAATAAGAAAATTCTTTTGTGATCAATAATACAATGATTTTATGAATTTTTTTTGCTAATGTATTTATGGCTCCAGTAAGCATTCGTTCTAGATCTGCTACTGAGACCAGTGTCATATACAAGCAAGCAATATAAAATTATTTTAATCGAAAGAAATAATAAACTTAATGAATTCGTATCTTATATGTGTTATCTTTTTTAACTATTCTACAAGTTCGATCAAATTTATTGCCTATCATCATTATTCACCATAATTATCAGTAATCATCATCAATTTTTCTATATAATAAAATTATTCCACAAAATTATTTATTGAATGTGCCGTACGATGCGCGACAAATGTTCAAGCACTAGCCTAACATAAATATCCCTACATACACTACTAAATTTTTTTTGAAAAGGGGTTACCATATTGAATTCAAAAGAAAGCGTGTGAATTTTCGCAATAAATATATTATCGATATAATTGAGGCCGTATCCAGTGCACCCGGGTGTACCGTATCTCCCCCCACCAAAGACACGCGCACCACGCGCTTAACTGTTTTTACCTTTACATTAAATGTACACATAAAGTAATTTTCATCATTTTTATCCTCACGCATAAACACACACAAACACACAGTCGACGGAAACTCTTCAATTTAGAGGAAACCCACACACACACACAGACGACGGCAAGAAACCCTATGTCCGGACATCTCAAGCTCTCCTTCATCTATACATGCTTGAATGGTAAGTATATTGCTCCGGGATCCTCTTTTTTTTGATTATCCAGCAATATCTTGTGTGTTTCCACTAGATCTGAACCATTTATCCATGGTTTCCTGCGTATGCTATGTGATCGTTGTCCATGCCATAATCTCTGTTTATCCATCTATATCATACTGACATTTGTTATCCACCTATTTCATTCTGGTTATCCATAAGTTGTAGGGTGGTTATCCAGAAGTTGTAAAGTGGTTATCCACAAGTTTTAAACTTGTTATCTATGCTTTCTTTACATTTTATTCTATGTGGCATGAACAAATAGATCTGGTTATCCATGTTTTTGTGTTTTTTTTTTTTGTTTGTTTAGGGTTTAGGGTTTAGGGTTTAGGGTTTAGGGGTGCTTGTCCAAACTTTGTTTTTCGGTTATCCATCCAACAAGTATTTGTTATCCGCATGGTGTAAACTGGTTATCCATTGTTTTTTTTAGATGTGCTTTTATGTGGCTACGTCCATACATTCTTTGCTGGTTATCCAACCATTTCATACTGGTTATCCACAAGTGGTAAACTTGTTATCCACATGTTCTGAACTGGTTATCCTGTGCTTTTTTAATTTTGATTTTATGTGTTGCTTGGTTATCCACCCATTTTAACTTGGTTATCCGAAGTGAGTAAACTGGTTATCCATTGTTTTTTTTTTTTTAGATGTGCTTTTATCTGGCTACATGTCCATACTGACTTCTTACTGATTATCCACCCATATCCTGCTATTTTGTCCACTGACTTCTTACTGATTCTGCAATGCCAACAGTGCCCTAAAGGAGTTTAGGACAAAATATAGGCACGATTGGATCAGCGCATTCCACGACCTCAATTGCAACGCAGACAGATCACCGGATCCTGAACCAGATAAAATAATGGAGCTCCCTGAAGGAACACTGACCCTATATAAAAAACAAAAACCAACCCAAGAAGAACAGTCCCCTGTACAAACTCCAAGCAACCAAAACACCAAAGAGGAAGAAGAGCACACCGGCAGGAAATCCAAAGCAACTTGTGGTTGCTGATGACAATGATGATAAAAAGCCCAAAAAGAAAAGAATGAAACCTGAGAACAACAAAGTGATAATTGGTCAAGATCCATGGCCAATCAGTTCTGAAGATTCTGTCAAGAAATTTGAGACAAGGATGACACCGAACCATCTCTTCCAACTCATCACTGAAATCAATAAACCAACAGATCTTACAAAAGAGCCAGATGCGGTAGATTATCGCCAACTACAAAGGCAGGCTATCAGAGATATGGGATTTGGCGCATTGCTGGATCTCAAAATCAAAGATATTCCAACAGCCTTGTGTAATTTTCTGGCAAGCAATTTCCAGACTGGTGCCAGACAAGTCCCATTGAATGGCAACAATGTACTGGATATCAAACAGGAAGATGTTGTTGCTGTACTTGATCTTCCTTGTGGACTCAAACCAGTGCAAGAATTCAAACAGAATGATCCCGCTATAACGGACCATGCTGAGATGGTGGATGCGTTCAAGAAAAGAATGGGATACAGTAATAAATTCCTGCCAACGAGATCCACCGCGGCACAATTAATTGCTAGTCGAAAAGATTTTGGTGATGATTTCAAACGAGATTTCCTCGTCTTTGTTGTGAGCACGTTCCTACATGGAAACACCACTTCCAGGATCACAATGAACATCCTGAAGTCCCTTGTGAACATCAATGAAGTGAAACAATACAATTGGTGTCAATATGTGATTGATGCACTTGTGAAAGGATGCAAAAGTCACCACGATGGGAAGCCATTCACTGGACCACTCACTTTTTTCCTGGTACTTACCATATCCATGCAAACTTTACTACTTATCCATATTGCTTGCAATGTTTATCCAATTTGCTTGTACTTGTCTGATGTGATTGTACTTGTCATCCAACTAATTTGTACTGCTTGTCCAGCCCTCTTTTTCCCCTTTAAATGGTTATCCATTATGTTCCTGCCGGTTATCCAGCCTATTTGAACTCATTATCCACTTCATTTGAACTGGTTATCCACTTCATTTGAATTGGTTATCCAATCTGTCTAAATTCTGATGGGCAGATTATCCAACTAATCAGTATTATTTATCCAACCTGGTTTTTTTGTTTTTATTATTTTTTTAAAAAATAATAAACTAAGTTGGTTATCCAACTCGTTTGTATTGGTTATCCAATCATTGGTTTGTACTGGATTATCCAATGCGCTAATGCTGGTTATCCAATGGATTTACATGGTTATCCAAATTGTTTGAACTGGTTATCCATTTTGTTCATACTGGTTATCCAACTCGTGCATACTGGTTATCCAACTTACTGGATATCCAACTTAATTCTGCCTATCAAAATTTAGTCATTTTTAAACTCAAAAAAAAATATTCGAAATGGATCTCGTTGGATAGATCTCGACGAGTACTAATTAGTTGGTTATCCAATTTATCAATTTGTACTGCTTGTCCAACCCTCTTTTTCCCCTTTAAATGGTTATCCATTGTGTTCCTTCCGGTTATCCTACCTATTTGAACTCACTATCCACTTCATTTGAACTGGTTATCCACTTCATTTGAGCTGGTTATCCAATCTGTCTAAATTCTGATGGACACCAACTTTTTTTTTTTTTTTGGTTAGTTGTGCTACCTTGACAGGTGTGAGTATGAGAGAGCACATCCGAGGTCGTTCCCTGTGATCAAATCTTGGGACCAAAGGATGCTGGACGACAGAATAAGGCTTCAGGGAAGCAATTTCACGATGTCCAGACACTTGAACGTCTCAATAAACCGTCCTCGGAACATCTCGAGATGAGCAACCAGAGGTGAATCACGAAGGAGGATACACGGGAATCCACAACACACAAGCAAGTCTATGTCTTTGTTCTACTATTTTTTTTCAGATCAAACTTACGTATCCAACCTAGCATCTCCACATTCCACTAACTACATTCAATTCTGCAGGACCTTGCCGCTCTTTACGAAAAATTCTACCAATTGATTATCACGATGAGCAAAACTGTTTTAGACATTCGTGAGAAGGAAATGGAGTTAAGAATCGAACCAGATGAACAAGCAAAGCAAACAATCAAGATCCTATCAGATGCAATGGTGTCGATGAGTAGAAAGATGCCTCCGCCTTCAGGTACAACGCAACAGGAACAAGAGCAGCAGCAACACCAGCAAGACCTCCAGGATGCACAGATTTGTGAATTGTGCGAGATGGCATGGAAGTCTGCTGAAAGCAGATTTGCAACAATCATAGAACAGCTGCAACGACAAGTAGCTGACCAACAAGAACAACAGCAACACCAACAAACTGATGACAACACTGTAGAAGCTCCAATTAATCTCGCAAAATTTCAAGACATTGAAATTGACAAAGCACAGGGACTGGAGCAATTGAGCCAGACAAATGATGAGGCTTCTATTGCAGTGGGGAAAACTGTGCCTACTTCAAAAGAAGTGGTGGTTGATCAACCACAAACTCAACTACAAGGGGCACAGGGACTGGATCAATTGAGCCAGACAAATGATGAGAATTCTCTTCCAGTGGGGAAATCCGTGCCTACTTCAAAAGAAGTGCGGGTTGATGGAAAACAAACTCAACCAAGAGGTAATGAAACAAATACTTGTCTGATGTGATTGTACTTGTCATCCAACTAATTTGTACTGCTTATCCAAACCCTTTTTATCCCTTTAAATGGTTATCCATTGTGTTCTGCTGCTTATCCAATCTATTTGAACTCATTATCCACTTCATTTGAACTGGTTATCCAATCTGTCTGATTTGTACTGCCTGTAAAACCCTCATTTTCCCCTTTAGATGGTTATCCATTGTGTTCCTCCTGATTATCCATCATATTTGAACTGATTATCCACTTCCTTCGTACTGATTATCCAACATTCCAACTTTGTACTGCAGAACATGCAACGAATGTCTCCACGACAGAAAAGAAGAGATCCCATCAAGATTCCACCGGGCGGGATACAGCTGTGACATCCACCTATAGCAAAAGGTCGAGAAGCACTGGTACCAGGAAAAGGAAAGCATTGAAAGACGCAAGTATCCCAAGCTTTAACCTGGGTATCTTCTCCAGTCAGGAAGACAATTACGAGACAACCCAAGAGAAGAACACTCAAGAAGATGTCACAGTAACGGTTGATCTGGATAAAGATGTGAATGAGACTATAGAAGCAGAAGAATATCCAGTACCATCTGCTCTGGACGAAAAAAGAATCCCATTCCTTCTATCGATGAAATTATAACAAGGGCCAGTGCACCAGCTTCAGAGACGTCGAGTGATACAGAAAAACTAGAGATCATTGCAGCTGTTGCAGAACAAGTTGAGAAAAACCCAGAGGTGGTTGAAGCAGTCCCTTTAAGCATAATTCCACCCGATTGGAATGCTGCTTCTACCACGGATCGTTTACTCATCTTTGGACAAAAATGAGTGTACCACGCCACCGCCTGCAATCTCAAAGAAAGCTGAAGTACTTGATGAAGGCTTAACAAAGACAGTGGAAAAGTAAGTTTGATCCACTGTGAATGCTCACAACAAAATAGAAACATGAATTTAGATACTAACTCTCTTTTGTTTTGTCCTAGGATCCTCAAACAAAAACCTAGGAGGAGAAATCCACCAAGAATCCACCGGTTGCCCGAACGGTTCAGGTCGCCGTTCATGCTGCAGAAGAAAAACAAGAAAAAATTCATACAGTTGACAGAGGAGAACAAGAAAATGACTGAAGAAGAAGCCATGTTGATAGACTTCGCTCTCTTGCAGAGACAAGAAGAAATTGTTAAATCAGCGTAAAAGCCACCATCCTTACCCGTCCGATAAAAAACTTACCGGTTTTCCAACTATTTGTCTATTTGACTACTTTTTCTATGCAGGAATTTCTTGTTTGAATTTGAAAAAATTGTTTGGGCAGACAGGACAGCATTCTATTCCATGAGGGAAGGCACATGGATAGAAAACAGCATCGTAGATGCTTGGGCTATCATCCTAAACAAAGAAGAAGCTAAAAAAGATTCCTCAAGTCGGATATTCTTTGGTGTTTCCGCATTTGTAAGTCAACTAAACCGTTATTCTTTATCCCGCCCTGGTAAAATACTTGTCACGTGTCTGCAAGTTGTTTATCCAAAGGCTTCCCACTAGTTATCCAGCCATAACGGCTGGTTATCCACATTCTGTAAACAAGTTATCCAGCCATAATTGCTGGTTATCCACATTCTGTAAACTAGTTATCATTGCTGGTTATCCACATTCTGTAAACTAGTTATCCAGCCATAATTGCTGGTTATCCACATCCTGTAAACTAGTTATCCAGCCATTGTACTGATCATTATATCATTTTTCAACCATCTTAAACAATAACGCAGGATACAATCAGTCGCTACTATCAACAGGATAGTAACAAAGAGGAAATAGAGTTCACGTTCTACGAGAGGTTGGCTCTTGAACTAGAAGAACAAGGACTCAGTGTAGGATCCCTGATAGTGGCAAAAGCCGTAAGCAACATCTTTCACCTCCTTCACTCTTTCTATAACTGGTCATTAAAAATTTTCTTATGATTTCCCTTTCAATGTGAAAATCAGATCTACTTCCCAGTGCACTACAGAGAACATTACTTCTTGTATGTGTTGCTGGTTCAAGAGAAGAAAGTCCTCGCATTCAACAATCTTCATGCAAAAGATCTGGACTACTACAAGCCAACAAAGGATCTACTTGTGAGTGAAAAAAAGATACAAAATGATTGCCATACTTTAAGAATTATCCATTGCATTTTGCTGATCCTTGAATTTTATGGCATCGCAGTTTCGGTTCTTTAAAATGTACATTCAATGTGTGTTTCCAAACATAGAACTGGTCAATGCTCAGTTGACCTTCACAGAGGTTACGCTACCATCTCACAACGACAAAAAGCCAAATGCAGAAGATTGTGGAATATTCACAATGCACCACATGGAGAAGTATGATGGTGGTGACTACGAGGATGGTACTACTTTGGATTTCCACACAGGAAACATCAAAGAGTACCGGTGGAGATACATGTTAAAAATCCTTATGCACCCATCCAACAAAAATAAGGACAAAATCCTCGAAGCAATGCACCAGTTCTACACAAATACTGCTGAAGAAGAACCAAAAGAAATTCCAGATCATGTTGATTTGAGCAGCAAATCTTACTACAATGACAAAAAAAATCAGGGATGGGTTAAATGAACTGTCATTATCTTGTCTTGTATAATTGATTGACTGTTGTAGTCCAAATCATTTTGTAATGGTTATCCAGGATCTTTCTACTGATTATCCAATGCTTTGAATTCATCATCCAGGACTTTTGTACTGGTTATCCAGCAAATGTGCGGCAATATCCAACCGTTTGTAGTGGTTATCCAAGATCATTGTACCAAGTTATCCATCTTGATAAACCTGATTATCCGAATGTTTTATAGTGATTATCCAGTCTAAAAAAATGCAAGTACAGTCTTTAATCTGATTATACATGAGATTATAATTCTTATCCAAAAAATCAATACTGCTTATCCATATGTAACAAAAGTTTTATACTGATCATCCATTCAAAAAAAAATGCAAGTACATTCTTTAACCTCAATACTTAATATCCAAGAGATTATACTTGTTATCCAGAACCTCAATACTGCAATCCAAACGGCATATTCATTGGGGGGCTTCGGCCCCCCATATACATTGGGGGGCTTCGCCCCCCATGATAAACTAAACGACTCCTGCGGCTACCGGAATCGCAGGTCACCAACCTGCCCCGGCTGCGCCGCCCCGCCGAACACGCCAATGTAGCTAAGGTAATCCTTTTTTCGTGTGTGTGTAAGGAGAGTGTGTTATTGAGTTAAGAGGGGACCCAAATTAATTGTATAAATTCCCCCGTGATAAACGACCCGGCTGCGCCGCCCACATGCCGAAGAAGGCAAATTTCATAAACAGTGTTTAAAAAAATGAATGAGGTGAAGTTTGACAAATGATGGAGAACAAAAAATCGATGAGGGCCAGACCGTCTGACTTAACTAGCGGGCAAAACCCAACCCGGGAACGCAACCCGCTTCAGAATCCCGCCCAAATTCTGGAAAAGCTGCCCCATTAGTGTGCACATTTTCCAAACGGCGGCCGGGCAATCATAATAATTATCCCTTAGAATCCTTCTCCCGAAAACGTCATTCAATCATAATTGAGTGTGTTGGATAATGTACCATTCCTTCAACCATTCACCTGCTCTCGTCCTTTTTATGGGTATAAAATTCACTTTGTTTTTTATTCTTTATGAAAAAATGCTGGTTACCCATAGTGGTTATCCACAGTAAAATTCACTTTGTTTTTATTCTATGATCATTATCCAATGCTCTGAATTAGTTATCCAGAACTTTTGTATTAGTTATCCACAAATTTTGCAGTGGTTATCCAGCAGTTTATGTAACTCATTTAAGGATAATCAACACTGGTTATCCATTATGTCCATACTGGTTATCCATAGTGTGGAACATGTTACTGTGTATAACTGAAAACCACACGTTCTGTAATTAAAATAGAATTTAAAAGATTGAGGCAGTATAAATAAAAAAAAAAGAAAACTAAAAATGCTCGTGTTCGTGCACAGTACATCCACCATGATCTAATGGGTAGTTATAGAGCCACACGTTTTTACATAACTGTCATTAAATGAGTTTCTTGATCTCTTTCTGGGGCTAAAACTCCTTCATCTACACATACACCAGATCGCCTGATTTGAGCATCCAAAACATCAAACAGCCAGAAAAAAATGAAAAACGAAAAAATTTCCTCAAATTCCAGCACCAAACAAATGTCCCCCATCTATCATGAATATATCCATCACGATATGCTTGATAAAATGTTCATTAATCTGTCATTGGAAAAGATTGGACAGTTCCGTCGTGTCAGCAAAGCTTGGGAGGAAATGACGAAAAGACAGGAATTTGTTCTTCAAAAACGTGAGATGAGCTACCCTGCAAGTGAAAACAACATCCTTGTTTTCACTCAAACAAGCCAAGAAGATCACCTGTTGCAAGACAAACTAATCGCCACCAACATAAAAGTGCAAATGGATAACCCATGCAACCACATACGATTTCAAGAAGAGATGTCGATGGGTGACGATGGCATCCATAAAATCATGCCTATCACCACAGATTTGATATGTCTGCAAACCAGCTCTCAAATCAAATTCTTGAACCCAAAGACAACACAACTTGCAACAGTTGAATGGCCATATGATGTCCCTCTCAACAATTGTGAAACAGCATTTGGGTACGTATCATCCTCAAAAACTTACGTTTTCATGGCCCTAATTGCCGATGGAAAAAACATGCAAGGCTGCATTTTTTCTTTTCAAAGTTGTTCAAGAATTCATAGAGGGGAATGGAAAACACTTTGCAATGTATGTCCTCGCCTTGTATCTCATGGAATCTGGTTTGATAGATTCGTGTCGGCGTGTAGACAAACTATCCTCGAAATAGCAACACCTCAAGAGTTGTTGGTTGTGTTTGACTACCACACTCAACAATTCCAACCCATAAACTGCCCTCCATCTCCAACCTTCTTTAACCCCACTTATCCTTCCCATATGAATCTCCAAGTGAAAATATTGGACTACCAGGGGACTATGTGTGTAATAGATGAGTACGAGATTACTCAGAATCATCACTGTGAGATGTGGGCATGGGATCCAGATACTTCCACATGGGATTGCATATTTGAGACCCATGAATTCCCAAATGTGAACACGCACGTTCCACAGGGATTACATTTCCGTCATGATTGGCTTTATCCAGTGTTCTTAAGCCACAAATCATCTCCAGCAGACGATTCATTGTAAAAGGATACGATAATCGTCATTTGTTGTTATATAGTGTTCCTACCAGAAAATCACACACTCAAGTATATCGCGGATCTAGAAACCAGTTTCATCATTAGAGCATGTTACTTACGGGAAACATTAACACACTTTTAGGACTTTGTCTGGTTATCTAATGATATTACTAGTTATCCAGGACTTTGTACTAATTATCCAGTTATCTATGCTGGTTATCCAATGTATTTTGGTTCTCCAAATATTTCTGTAAATTGCAAGAAAAAATAAAAAATGAGTGTCCCAATTTCTTGGTCTTTCTACTTCTTTATTAAACTGCTTATCCTATGATGTTATCTTGCTTATCCAGAACTTTTGTACTGATTATCCAGACAATGTGCAGCAATATCCAACCGTTTGTAATGGTTATCCATGATCATTGTACCAGTTATCCATCTTGTTAAACCTGATTATCCGAATATTTTATTGTGATTATCCAGTAAAAAAAAATGCAACTACAGTCTTTAACCTGATTATCCATGAGATTATACTTGTTATCTGTCTTCAACGTGTTCATGTGTTTTTCTATAATATTTATATGCATTTAAAGTTGGATATCCGGTACAGGCGAGTTAGATATCCAGTAAAAACGAAATGGATATCCACTACAGACAAAATGGATATCTAGTACAGACAACTTGGATAACCAGTCCAAACTGGTTGGATAATCACCATGAACGCAACGGATAACCAATTTAAAATAACCACTAGGATAACCAGTACAAATTAAATGGATAACCAGTTAAAACTGGTTGTATAATACTGCAATTTAAAATAAATAATACTTTTTAAATAAAAATCTTTACGGCATCAAGACTGTTCATTTCAACATCAAGTTAAAATACTAATAGAACATCTTGTTGAAGAAACGCTGCGCTCCAGCCTCCCTGGCAGCTTCCCTTCGGTTAGGAAATGACAAACCACCAAAGTTTTCATTCATGAATGTCATGTTTTGATGAGAAGGATTCACAGCAGCGGAAGTGCATTCGCCTTGAAACTCCTGGCTACCTCCCTTAGGAATTGGAAATGAGAATCCACCGGAATTTTGGTTGATGAACGGCATGCTTTGATCAGAAGCATTCATAGAAGTGGAAGCCCCTGCCCATGAAAAATGCTGGGCAGCTATGCTTGGATTAGCAAATGAGAGTCCACTGGAATTTACGTTCAAAGATGGCACGCTTTGATGAGAAGCATTCACAAGCAAAACTTCCCGAGCTCGTAAAATGTTGAGCAGCTCCTTTGGATAAGGAAATCGCATGCTTTGATAATGCAGTCGATGCAATGAAGCTCTTGTTCGGTCTGCAGCAATTTTTGCATTTGTTTTCCGCCTCGACTTTGTTACATGCCTTCTCAAGAATGCTTTTAGGACGTTCGTTCTCGGGACCAAACTTCTTCCTCTTTACTGATAGGATTCTTTATAACACCATCATTGTCTACAGACTCATCATTATTATTTGAACCAATAAAGCGCCGAGTTCTTCTTTAAGCCTGTCAATGCCCCATCACAACATTTCTTTGCATCTTTGTTATATTCACTTGCATACACCAAATCGAAAATCGTCTCATAATTAGTGCCTTCCACAAAGAATGGGCCACAGCTTTTCCATCTCCTCATTAGCTATGCTTGACACGGCACCATAACCTTTTGTCCATCTCATACATATATAATCTTTAGGAAACTCATCAACAGAGGTTACGTGACAGATCCGAAGAATGTGGCAACAAAGCATGCCCGCCTCAGAATAGTACCTGCATGTGCATGAGAATCTCTGTAACCTAGTGTCATGTACAACCACGTGCTTAAAGTGCTCTATCCCAAACCGCCAAACATGGTACGTCACAGTATTGCCATCATTTGAGACCTCTACCTGCTCCTGCCTGCACAACATCCCATCTTTGTGGAACTGCTGAACCTCCCGGAATGCTTCAACTGTGTACACTCTGCGAATGCTCTCCAGAAGAGGGTCACCGGGAAGATATGAATCGATGTTTCCCTGGCTACAACGTAGATCTTCACCCCTCACAGCTACCCGCCAACAGTGTACAACATCAGAGAAAATTCCATGGAAATCACAAAGCGATGATGTGGCCTTCATCTTACGACAAATTGCATTATTTGTTCACTCACTCCTCTGTGAAGACAAGGTACCACCAGAAAAAAAATCTTTGCTAAATGCAGGGCACCACATATGCCTCACATCGTAAATACCACTGAGCCATTTGTCATCATGACAATCATACTCATCCAATAATCTGTGTACCACAAAATAAAACACATGCATAAAAAGAAAAATAGTTAGATTATCCATATAGTTATCCAGCCAAGAAAGCCTTTCTACTAGTTATCCAGCCATAACGGGTGGTTATCCAGAGATAATTGCTGGTTATCCACAATATGTAAACTAGTTATCCAACCATAAGGGGTGGTTATCCAAAATAGCTAAAAACTATTTATCCAACCATAGTTGCTGGTTATCTAGAATCTGTAAACTAGTCATCCAAACATTATGGCTGGTTATCCACAATCTGTAAACTAGTTATCCATACCTTTTTTAAGTTGTGCTTCTATAATGTACCTACCACACAACGTACCTACCTATAAGTAATCATCAGGAAGATCATGCATGACCACTAACAAACACATACCCACACAACAAAAAAAATAAGAGACACTCTTAATCATGGAAATGATCAAAATAATAATAAAAATATTGTCAAACTGACCTCTTCCATAATACCTCGAACTCGATTTCTGTTGAAGTGTATTTCATCAGATAATTAAAGTTCTTAACAAAATCTGGCTTGTTCCTTAAATGACCAATTCGCTTTCTTGAATTTTCACCTATGTGCCATACACAGAGACGATGCCTAGAACTTGGAAAACATGTCCGAATACTTGCAGCAATGGATGGTGCTTGATCTGTCATTATGGTTTGTGGTGTTTATCTCCCATTGATTTCAAAAACTGCTTGAACAACCAATCAAAAGAGGGTTCTTTCTCGTTTAACACAAAACCACAACCAAACGTGACATTCTTGTTATGATTATCCATACCCACAAATGGAGCACAGATCATCCCATATCTGTTTGTTCGATATGTTGTATCAAACACAAGCAAGTCACCAAACAAATTATAATCCTTTCGCATTCTGCCATCCCTCCAGAAGAAAATACACAGCTTACCCTGCTCATCACACTCAAAATCAAAGAAGAAATCTTCTTCAGTTTCCTTCCTGTCCCAAAAAATCTTCATGAGCTGATTACAATCCCCACCTTCAAATCCAACAGCAGGACGCTCATAATTGTAGGCATCTCTCAAAGTATATTTCATGTTCGGGCTTCCGCCGTGTAATTTTGCCACAAACTTAAATGCATCAACCAAAGGGATGCCACTCCTTGTCATGTCTCTGATTATCTTCATATCATTTTCATCTACTTCATGTTGAGATCGAAGAAGTCCAATCATTTCATTCGGCACAAGATCATGATTGTGATCAACCAGATACTTTGTACAGGTCCACCAGCCATCTTTGTCAACAGTAAACTGGATATAAGCTGGGCACCCACAGCGAAAATTAACCCTCTCATGGCATACATCACCATTTCCACTGGATCTCTTCTATCCTTCGCGGTTACAACAGAACTTCTTCATCCTAACTTTATCAGTCTTACCTCTAAACTTCTGTTTTCCCACTCTCACACTAAAACCAATCAATCGGGCATGATCATTATACAAATCATAAGCTTCTTTCTCACTTCTTGCCGTCTTACCAACTAAAGTAAAAACAGCCAAATCATTATTCTTCGTCACAGATGAAATTTCCTTGTGCAAGGCATCCTCCTCCAACATCACATTATCAACTCCCAATTCATTGCCACTATTATCTTCTCCACATTCGAGAAAAACAAAAGAGATGGTTGGATAACCATTACCGTGCATTCGGATAATCGGTATTAACACTTGGATAAACAAATCGAAAAAAATTTAAACCATATAAGCAAGTTAGAAAACCCACCCTTCGGAGCGGATGTAACTTCCATGCACAAAGCATCATCCAAGATCACATCATCCCCAACCGATTGATATGCTCTTTTACAAAAATGGGACAAACAGAAAAACAAAAATCAGTTGGATATCAACAGACAACTATCCTAATACCATAAATGTAGAGAGCAAGAACTTGATATATGCAGATTCATACATTCAACAATACTGTCAAACAAACCTTTATCCCAGATGGACTCTCCATGAAACTAAGCTTGTATGCATGTATGGATACGTATGTAAATCAGTTGGATAACCAGTATACATAAGCTGGACATCCAGCACAAACAAAGTGGATATCTAGTACAAATATTTTGGATATCCAACACAGCATAACTGCTTATCCACTTCATATAACATTAACAAAAATAAAACTGTGAAAAACTAGATTCATTATTCTCTCACAAACAGTACACTCCGAACTGTGAAAAAACACCAATTCAATATAAACAACTCAAAAATGTTGGATATCCAGCAAATAAAATTTGGATACGCATGTGTATCGGTTGGATAACCAGTACACATAAGTGGATATCCAGAGAACAACGTGGATATCCAAGAAAAGAGTTTGGATATCCACCACAAAGATAATCGCTTATCCAGTTCATATTAACAAAAATAGAACTGTGGAAAAAACTTGATTGATTACCTGATTCCAGCTGATCTACAATAGAACTGTGACCTTGCGTTGATTTACTGGCACAGTAAGGTTGTTCGATGGATTTTCTACCATTACATTCCGCATTCATCAAGACGGAATCATCAACGACATAACTCATCACTCGATCTGAACTAAGCATATTGTCAATCCAATCACCATTTCGCCACTCTGGTGGAATCGGAGCCTTTCCTCGATCGCTGAACGTCGTCGCCGTCTCAGAAACTCGATCGCTGAACGCCACGATCGCTGACTCTCATTGCCGCCTCAACGCCACGATCGCTGACTCTCATTGCCGCCTCAACGCCTCGATCGTCGCCGGCCATCTCCAATCAATAATACTCTATCACAAAGTTTTACAAATTTGAATGAATTTGGTTATTTATATATCCCCGCATTTAAAAAAAAAAAAGAAAAAGAAAGCTGAATTATAATGGCTCACTAACGCTATTGTAAGAGAGTGAGGTACACGCGCATGGGGGGACACCGTATTCCCGGGTGTACCAGATAATTTGCCCTATAATTGCTGGCCATTAAAAACAAAATAAATAAATGTTACTTGTAATCCTATATGGGATCTAGAAATTCAGTCCGATTTAAATTTTAATTTACCCGAAACCTAGCAGATTCAGGATTACCAAATGGATGAACAAAGTCCAACCTTGTCCACATGCATAGACAAGGAAACAACCCAGGTGGACCAAAATTTACCGTCAGTAATAAAAAAGGAATCCTAATTCCACGCAGATTCTTTTTTTTTTTTTTGTTTTTCTCCTACGGCCTTTACACTTTACAGGAAGACCCCCCAACCCAACTCACCTCACGTCTCTGTCCTATATATATCTTCAATCCCTCCTCCAAATTCGTCCCATCATTTTCCCCTTCCACAATTCTTCCTTCCAGGTCCCTTTAATCGTTAATAATAATCTCTGGGTTTTTTTTCTTAATCCCTTTTTGTTTGTTTGTTCGTAACCATGGCTTTCTTCAAGCCATTAATATGTCTGTTCTTGGCGTTACTGGCCGTTTCGTCTGCTCTGGACATGTCCATTATCGATTACAACAGGAATCATCGTATTGGTGGCGCCGGCGACGACGAGACGGTGGTCAGAGCTTTGTACGAGTCATGGCTTGTAAAGCATGGCAAGGCTTACAATGCCCTTGGCGAGAAAGAGAGAAGATTTGAGATTTTCAAAGATAATCTCCGGTATATCAATGAACACAACGCCGACGAGAGCCGTAGTTATAGATTGGGTTTGAACCGTTTTGCGGATCTGACCAATGAGGAGTACCGCCGTATGTATTTGGGTGGCCGGATGAATAGGGCCGGTCGGCTATTGTCTGCTCGTGCTAACGGCAGGTACGCTTTCCGGGCCGGCGACGCACTTCCGGCTTCCGTTGACTGGAGAGCTAACGGCGCCGTCACTGCGGTCAAGGATCAAGGCCAGTGTGGTGAGTTATTAAAGACGAACTTTTTTACGATTCTTATTGCTTTCGGCTGTTTTTGTGTGTAATTTGTCTTTTTCCGGGTTCTTAATTGATCGTCGTGTTGGACCACTAATAGGATTTTGCATATAAGTTTTCTGGGTCATGCCCATCTAAAAATAATATGGATGTTTTGGTGGGGCCGGGAGATATGTGTTTGTGGATTCAGTTTGGAAATTTTGACTTATGACTTCTTTTCTTTGATGGGATTGTTTTGACATTGATTTTAAGCTGCCATCAGTCCTGGATTGTTTGTCCTTTTCCTGGAAATTTGGTGATTTTCGTTAATGTTGAAATAAGTCAACGGGGCTTGATTTGTATTGGCACAGTAATAATAACATGTATGTAAGGATTTTGCCAGTCTTTACTTTTTTACTTGGGTTGGACTGTGAGAATTTCTGCTTTCGTTTGTTTTACCTTCTGGTGAAAGAATGATTTGCAAAATTAGTCTCTTGTTATTCATCCATTAACTGAATTGCATAATGTTTTGTCGATAAAGGGAGCTGCTGGGCTTTTTCAACCATTGGAGCTGTTGAAGGAATCAATCAGATTGCAACTGGGGAATTGATCTCCCTCTCCGAGCAAGAGCTGGTTGATTGTGACAGAGCCTATAACCAGGGTTGCAATGGAGGTTTGATGGATTATGCCTTTGATTTCATCATACAAAATGGTGGTGTTGATACTGAGGAAGATTATCCTTACCGTGCTCGTGATGGCACTTGTGATAAAAACAGGGTATGTATGGATAACGTTCCTTTTTGTTTAGATTTCTGGAATTTTCTTTTAACTTGGTGACTTACAAATATCGAATGAATGCATTTTTTATTTCAGAGAAATGCCCGTGTTGTGTCAATTGATGTTTACGAGGACGTGCCTACTAATGATGAGAAGTCCTTACAGAAAGCTTTGGCACATCAGCCTATCAGTGTTGCCATTGAAGCAGGAGGCAGAGCTTTCCAGCTTTACCAATCGGTAATACCTTTGTTCCCTTTTTCCTGCATTTGGCAAATGCATTCTCTAACTGGTTTTAGCTTTTAGATTTCAACATTCTGAGTGGAATCTTTGGTATTCTGGCAACTTTACTCCCAGACTTTTTAACATGCAAGTTTCTTTATGATAAATCCAGGGTGTCTTCACTGGACAATGTGGAACACAACTAGATCACGGGGTCGTTGCGGTTGGGTATGGTACAGAAAATGGTGTAGATTACTGGATTGTGAGGAATTCATGGGGACCAGCTTGGGGAGAGGAAGGCTATATCAGGCTCGAGCGAAACCTTGCCAATGTCACCACCGGGAAATGTGGTATTGCCATTGAGGCCTCTTATCCTGTGAAGACCAGTCCTAACCCTCCCAAGCCTGAACCTTCCCCTCCCTCTCCCGTAAAACCTCCAACCGTTTGCGACGACTACTACTCATGCCCTGAGGGAACCACATGCTGCTGCGTCTACGAGTACGGTCACTATTGCTTTGGCTGGGGTTGCTGTCCTCTTGAGGCTGCTACTTGCTGCGACGATCACTCGAGCTGCTGCCCACAAGAATATCCTGTTTGCGATGTTGAAGCCGGAACTTGCCTAATGGTAATTCAGTCTATTCTCATATTCATTAAATTTCGATTAGTAAAACCATTCAATTTAACACTAGTAGATTATAATGCCTGTTCAACTTGCATTAAGAGGATTCTTAAACTTTTAAATTTGAACTTGCAGAGCAAGAACAATCCAATGAGCGTTGCAGCATTGAAGAGGAGCCGAGCTAAATTTAACCTGGGCCGTGTGTTTGGAAGGAAGATTAGCCATCCTTGAGATATTCTTTGATTTCCTTACCTGGTGATCTGGAAGGAAGATTGTGGAGGGTTTTATATTTGCATATTTAATATTTATTAGGCTAGACTTTTCACCTTGGGTTGATAACATCATCCTCAATCCATCATCCTTTGTAAATAGTAATCATGAAACTGGAAGCCTTTTACTTTTATATTATTTACATCTAAAACTACGATTTGTGGGTTGTACATATTAAAATTGTTGGATTATTTGCTCTTTTAAGTTCTTATTGTCTCCTGTTTTGTGTCTTTTTATCCTTTTGAATCTCTTTTTGTCTCGTCCTGCTGGATTTTTGTTGTCTCCAGTTTCTGTAAACATTAGCAATCAGAAGAGAAAGTGACACTCCATACAGTAGACAATCTGGGGGGATTAGACCCGCGGAAACTAATAATCAGATACTGACTAATTAATATGTTACCGCTATTTGCTATTAGGTCGGGAGGTAATGATTGATAAGTTGATGATTTACTGCAATATTTGCTATCTTGGGAGATTGTAATACTCCCTCCGTCCCAAAATAAGTGTCATTTTAATAAAATAAAGAAATTTCAAAATAAGTGTCGTTCTCACATTTCAATGTATTTTTTGTCCAAATTTCTAAAATTACCCTCAAAAGAATTAATACTATTGATGGAGATTGTTTTAATGGGATTAATTGAGGATATTCAAGTAATTTTATTAACCTAATTAATAGTTTCTTAAACTTTGATGGAGATTGTTTTAATGGGATTAATTGAGGATATTCAAGTAATTTTATTAACCTAATTAATAGTTTCTTAAACAATGTGCAAAGTGTAGGATGACACTTATTTTGTAATGGAAGGAGTATTTTATAAGATGATCCATTTATATCAAAAACATCAACTTAGCTCTAAAGTTGGTAATCAAAAACTTTTTTTAAACTCTAAAATTGTGCGAAATTATACCATAATAATACAACTTTCTCTAAAACTAGTTGCATACATACTTTTCTTAAAATTTAAAGGAGTACAGAATTACGATTATATTATTGTTACAACTTTCTCTAAAACTAGTTGTATGCAGTCGGGAGCTATGATTCCGAATACCGAATGCGTAATACAAATTTTTTTTAAGGTCTCTAAAAACTTATTATACGCGGGTAATCACTAATGGGGCTGGAGTGAGAATATAGCTTAAATACGCCATTAATGATTTCGTGAAAGAAATTAATTATTCTCGAGTGGCGGGCCTTATTAAATTTCCGTGGCTCCCTGAAAATGAAATAGTGAAATTGGCTAAAAGCTTACAAGCGATCAAGAAGATCTGGCCCTTGATTCTCGGAGAAGAAATCAAAACCAGGGGCCGGTAATAGTTAAGATCACTGACCCGGATGCTCCAAGACGGAAAATGAGAAAGGATAGGGGCTCTTTTGAAAATTAACTTAATTTCTAAAATAGGATATTCTGTGATTTTCTCCGATCTAACCCTTCCATTTCCATAAGGGAGAGAAGATACAAACGCAGAGGAAGATACTCACATATATCCAAAATTTGATTTGAAAAAATATTGTAAGCGAAAAAAACGGTGTCGTTAAGTGAAATTCCGCCTCTCATCCACCGGCGTAAGTTAGGTTTCCGCCATCGTTGACTCCTTATTCAGGTAACTCCGAGCTCTCATCTATTCCAATAACTTCTGATTGCACCGTGTTATGAGAACTCGCTCCTGTTTATAGTTGTGGATTTTCTTGCAATACTTCCTCTAAATTTGTAGTAGTTACTACGTGCTAGATTGGATACTTATTTAATTTGTTGTTGATCGGCGAAGAAGTACTGACAATTGTCTTTTTCTGTTTCTCTGTGCTTAGTATGAAATTAATTGCTGATTTAGTTGCTAAAATCTCTTAGCTCGATTCTGCGTTGCTTCTTGACTCTGGAACTTCGAATTCCATTTGTTGAGCTTTTGAGAGGAGTAGCTCACTTTTTCTGGTTTCTGCTTCTGTGGATATTTGTAACACCTAATACATGCTATTGAATCCCGCTGTTATGATTAGGAGTTTAAGTTTTAAGTTGGCTATTTCATTGAGTGCTCCCATTGGTTTTGGCATTTCAAGCTCCAAGCATATAGTTTTATCCGGGTGCATGTTTCACAAGCATAAAATATCTTTTGATTTCACAATTGAAAATACAAATTCAAAAACTATGTTGGTTTTGCTTTCCAGACTTCAATAGCTGCAAGTTGTAAAATAACGTCAATAATTAATCTGAAACTAAATCAAAATATATGTTTGAAATGCGTAATTCTAACTCAATCGCTGAGGAAATAGTGACTTGAAGAAACTTTCTCTTGCCTGTTGATGCCTTGTGAATATTACTGCATCTCGCTGGTGTATGTTGATTTTCACATGGAATAAAACTGTTGTGCCGAGGCCCCCCTCTTGCCTTGTAACTCTTGTCAATTAGTAATTATATTTAATTTTCTTCTGTATCTCATTGTAGAAGTTTCAATTGTTATTACAGGTGTAAAGAGACCGCCTATAGACTATTGGGAGAATGGAATCGGAGGCTTCTCAATTATCAAGTGGTACAAGCTTAAAAGCTCCAGATGTCCATGCTGCTCCCGGGATAGAATCTGTTCCTGATAATTCAGCTTCTAGAGCCTCTGCATCTGGAATTTCCAGTTGGGCAAAAAATTTGAAAATTCCTCAGTCATTGGTGGGATCTCAAAGTGAATCATCACCCACTGAGAATTCTGGAAAGTCACCCTTTGCCCGTTTCACTAGTGGATTTGGATTGCGTTTATCTCCAAAGTCTTCTCAGCAAGAAGAAAACTCTGATGGAACGCCAACAACATCGCAGTCTGGTTTTATTGGGACAATCACTAAAGGAATCGTGGATTCATCAAAGAGTGCAGTGAAAGCTGTGCAAGTCAAGGCTCGGCATGTTGTCTCTCAGAATAAAAGAAGATACCAGGTGTTTGTTTGTTACGGTTGCAAATAATGGCAAATAAAGTCTCTGGTGTTTTTGGTTTGAATTGCTAACGTCATGCTGCAAAAATATACACGTGAAACCTTTACCTTTCAATTGAAGGGAAATTTCTTCTTAAAAGTTTTTCATTTTGTATACGATACATCAATTGTTGAAATATTCTTTTAGAATTATGCGTGCTCACTGTCTTGTGCAATAATGATTTCAATTGTTTTGTTCTTTTGTGGATTTTCATAAATCACGTTTGCATCTTTTATTGGCTGTACTCTCTACTGCGTTTGCAGCTTTTTAATATTACTTTTTGTACTTTTCTCAGGAAGGTGGGTTTGACTTGGATATGACTTACATAACTGAGAATATAATTGCAATGGGTTTTCCCGCTGGTGACATTAGTTCTGGCTTTTTTGGCTATGTTGAGGTGACAACTCTTAATCCTCTAACTTAATCCCATGGCATGATATCTCTGTGGAATTTTCTGATGGAAAATTTTATTTCAGGGGTTTTACCGAAATCACATGGAAGAAGTGATCAAATTCTTCGAAACATATCACAAGGTAATCATTTACTTTGTATATCCCCTATCTGCTCCAGATTGGCATCAATATGTAATATACCTTGAGAAAGCCTTCAATTGTCTATGTTATCTTGACATCTTAGAAGAGTCTTTCACAGTGTTTAATAGGCTTTGAAAAGTTAAGGTGATGATCTTTGTTCTGAGAGGTTGGCAGGACAAGTACTAGGTGTGCAATCTGTGTTCTGAGAGGTTTTATGATCCCTTCTACTTCTGTATTTGTGTGCAGGACAAGTACAAGGTGTACAATCTTTGTTCTGAGAGGTTGTATGATGCATCATTGTTTGAGGGAAAGGTACGTTATCATTCTTCTGTTTGACGTTCTTTTGTTGTATCGCAATTATGATGCTCTTTTATACTCTGTTTAAATTATTTAATAAACTGATCGAAATAAAAAAGAACACTAAACAATTAAATGTGTTTTAGTTGAATGAATGGCACATTTATCATATTTCTGGGGCTGTTTAGCATTCATCTGAAGCATACTAACTCATTTTTTGAGTCATACAAAATAGTTGTGAGTTTTATATTGTGGCTTAGCATGTGTATGTTCTTGATATTGAAAAGGGGGTGCGGGGGATAGCAAAAATTATACAGCTTTTTATAGTTTTTTCCATTTTGCAGGTGGCTAGTTTCCCTTTTGATGACCATAATTGCCCCCCTATTCAACTCATCACATTGTTTTGTCAAAGTGCATACTCATGGTTGAAGGAGGACATTGAAAATGTTGTGGTTGTGCACTGCAAGGCTGGAATGGCAAGGACAGGATTGATGATTTCTAGCCTTCTTTTGTACTTAAAAGTGAGCTTTCTGATTCCTGCATTTCCAGAATACGTAGATAACAATCTTTTTTCCCCATGGATTTAATTGGTTGAAACTTGCACTACCTTGGTAATTTTTGGGTGCTAATTAATTGTGCTTGGAATTATTTTCTTGCAGTTCTTTCCCACAGCTGAGGAGTGTATTGATTACTACAACCAGAAGAGATGTATTGATGGAAAGGGCCTTGTTTTACCTAGTCAAATTGTGAGTCTCTGTGAATTCTTGTATTAAGTTTTACCTGAAGTCCTCCATCTTTCTCTCATCTAACTAGTTACTTGTTTCCGCTCCAGAGATATGTCAAGTACTTTGAACGTGTTTTGACTTACTTCAATGGAGAAAACCAGCCAGGGCGCAGGTAATTGCCTTTTTAAGTATGAAAAGGTTCTATTTCCTTATTGTTCACAAGTACTTGGTCAGCTTGAGATCTGTAATTAATGCTTTTAGATTTCCTTATCTCATTGAGCAGGTGCATACTCAGAGGATTTCGGCTTCATCGATGTCCTTATTGGATCAGACCTTCAATCACAGTCTCTGATCATAATGGTGATTTTGATTATCAGTTTTAGTCTTGTCCAGACTACTTAGCATCATTTATGTTGTCCTCCCCTCATAACTTTACCATTTTTCCATGGTTTCTTTCCCTCAAACCTAATTGGTGATTGGTTTAAGTTATGGTGTCTTTCCACTCATACCTATTAGTTTATTAGTTTGTTTTTCTTTTTCCCCTTTTTTTCCTTGCATACACGGTCTACTGTCCTCCAGATTCAATCTAGAATGATCCAGTAACATTTTATTAATGTATTTTCTGTGCAATTTCCATGTATTTTTCTTATCACCTTCAACCCTTATTGATTTTTTTCCTCTAAAGCTTTTGTTGAGTGTTTCATGTTATAATCTCCTTGGGCTGATTGTTTTCTATTTTTGGTACACCTGGGCATTAGGTTTCCCCAATGTTTCCTTTTGGAGATAGATGTACATTTAGTCAGATCTTATTCTCTTGCAGTCATCTTTGGCCAATACAGTGTGGCAATTACCTTTTGATATCCTGCCCTTATGGGTTAGGAATTTTACCACAATTTCATATTTTGTGTACTTTTTAACTTATATGATTTTCCTTTCAGGGGTTCTGTTCTCGACAAAGAAACATCCAAGAACCAAGGACCTTTCGGTAGGCCTTTTTATATTTATATTAGGCTTTAGTTCGCTTAGTGTAGAGCATATATGGCCTATTCTATTATTTTGATATGTGGATGGACATGATGACTCTGTCATCCTGTTATTATCGATTTGAAGTCTAAAGTTTATGTTCTCTTTCCTGTGACATTGACTGCAGCCTGAAGTTTTTTGGTTTAGTGCCCCTAAGAAAGGGATAATGGTTTTTGCTCTTCCTGGGGAGCCTGGCCTTGCAGAATTGGCTGGGGACTTTAAAATACATTTCCATGACCGCCAAGGAGACTTTTACTGGTACGGTTAATACTGGAATGTTCCTGGAATAGCAAATTGAGATACCATTTCAGCTTATTCTAAATAGAATGTTAAATTTGAAAAGTGAATACTCTGTCACCGCCGCACAGATGTTGAAGACATTTATCAATGGTATAAATTAATTGTTTTTTTGATTTTTGATTTTTTTTTTGTTTCTCTTGATTATTCAGTTGGCTCAATACGACGATGATGGAAAACAGAAAAGTACTTAACACAAGCGACCTTGATGGTTTTGACAAAGTAATGACTAAGGTTTTGTTGTCTTTTCACTTTTGGCTTATTAGATTCATCCAATTTCAATATTTGTTTTTGCGATTTGTGCAGAGAAAATTGCCATCACCGGGATTCCAAGTTGAAGTTGTGCTTGTGGACTATGATTCTTCTGTTGTCCCAAGGCCTCCAGCAGAAAATGCTACTGAAAAAGTTGCTGAAAATTCTGGCACCCAAGCTGTTTCACAACCGAATTCTAGGAATGATGAGGCAAAGAATGTCAGCAAATTGGATAAAACCCCGGAGAGCAGGGATAAAGATGATGATGTGTTCTCAGATGGCGAAGTGGATGAAACAGGATCGAAAAGCAAGCAAGTTAATGCATCATCTGAAATGAGGAGAAATGCTGATATAAAGATTGTTGGGTCAAACAATGATTCGAGCGTGGATGAAAGTAAACAAATAACGCATGAAACTGAGCATTTGTCGTTGGGGGGCGCCAGTTCTGCCCAGAATGAGCCTCGAAAGGATTCCATTACAGCTGCTTCGCCAGAGGCTGGGGTTTCTAACTCAACAGCAGATATTAGTGAATTCAAAGCTATGGCTGCAGATGCTTCTGTTTTTACCTTTGGGGATGAAGATGACTATGAAAGCGATTGATTCAGGATTAATCTTCTGTCACATTGTAGTCCGAATGTACATAACCACTGTTGGATTTGGTCCTTTTACTTCCCAACTTCATGGCTACTAGCACTAGTCTAGCAGGCAATTGTTGATTCATTTTCGCGCGGTTTCATTTGTTTTGTTGTTAGTAATTTCACGAATGGTTAATCGCAGTCTTTTAGCCGTGTCGCGGCTACCTGATGTAAGGTATGGCATGATTTGATTTGTGTAATTTTCCAATAAAGAAATAAAACATAAAAAATTGCACATAGTTTGAAGTTACTATCTTCCGAGTGCTGCTGTCTCAGTAGTCGCCTATTCAAATTCAAGTTGATAAGGTTCACCAAATTCCGGGCTAACCTTTTTTGTCAAGTGGTGGTGAAGTTTCTCAACGGGCATTGATGTGAAATTTGCAGTAAAGACTGAGCACGTATTAGTCGTTTTTTATTGGCAGAAGACGAGAAAATCTGAATAGATGTTTTAGTGACTGGATTAATGAATTAATCAGCTTGATTAAATGTATTTAGTCTGTGTTCTATATAGATATATATGATCATATATGTCACTATCGTAATTTTGTCAGTTATAATGGTTTTGTTTTCACTGTAAACCTTTTATCTAATGTAAACAAATGATGTACTCAACAAGTTTTCCATCTCCCATTAAAATTTATAGTGATGAAGACCCTTCCCATTAAAGTCCTGGATCTCAACATTTCACATAACTGATACCCAAAAAAAAAAAGCCAAAGTCAACGTTTTATGTAATTCATTTTCCCGTTTGTACTTTGAACCAATCATATGACAGACTGGTTAAATAAAGCTGACTTTCTTTATCATCGGTGCTGCCTGGGTTTTACTTTGAGCATTTCTTAAAGCAAATTTAGTTCATTATTAAGTATTACTCCCTCTGTTCCAAAATTATTGTCTCGTTTAAAATGTCACTTTTAGTACAATTTGAACTAAAAATGAAAATCGAAAATTAATAATAATTATGGGACGGAGGAGTATTATTATTTTGTTCACCTCAAGAGAAACAAAATGTCACACGCAAAAGAAACAGAGTAAACCGTGTTTATTTTATTTAGTATGCGCGTTACTATTAAAATTTTCTTAGATTTTAAATTACGGACCAATATCCATATACATTTACACGCAATTTTGTCAATTTGAACCAGAAAAGGCAAAAAATAAATAGGACAGAAATTGTAAATAGAGAGAGAGTTTTCCCCGTATTCGCAGTTACTTCCTGCTATAATTATGACGCGTTCTTTTGTCAGAAAAAAAAAATTGCATATAAAAACAGATTGAACCTCGGAACCATGGCTTCAAATTGCTCCAAATAAATAATCATCCTCTTCAGATAAATTCATAAAAGAAAAAAGGAACCGTCTTTTTGTTGTCTTAATCTTTAATTTCCCCGGCCTCTGCCTCAAGTCCGTCCACCCCATGTCGATTTCTGGTATTCACGGTCAACTCTTGGAAGTCACCGGTATGTTTTCTCTTCATTTTCCTGTTTTCTTAACGTTGTTCACCTCCTAAATCAAGAAATAATCCGGAAAAAACCGTTCAGTTTTTAACCTTAATGGATGCTGTTTTGGAATTTCAGTTGTGGGCTGTACCAAATTGAAGGACACCGAATGGATTTCAAGACAAGATCCTTATGTTTGCCTTGAATATGCTAGCACTAAAGTTCGTACCCCGACTTGTACAGGTTGGTAACATCTACAGGTTTCTCGATTTTGTATGTTTTTCCAGAACCCGTTTTAGACAATGTTTTAAGTGCTACTTTCACTTAGATTAATTAGCGAGGCATTGTATCTTGTACGTTTTCTGCCTTTTCATTCATTGTATTTGATGATTAGATGGAGGGAAAAACCCAACTTTTCAACAGAAGTTCGTGTTCAACCTGATTGAAGGGCTCAGGGAGATTAATGTTTCCGTTTGGAACAGTAATACTATCACCACCGACGATTTCATCGGCAGTGGAAAGTAAATTCCTGTTTTCCTTTCTCTTTGCTTTCATTTTTGTATTTTAGTGAGTGTTACTTTAAATGAATGGGGCTGTAACTTAGATTAAGGCCCCCAACCTTTTCCCAGATTGCCACTTTAGTTTGTTTGTTGTTGATTGAAGGATCTTGTTTTATATTGGATGTTTTATAAGATTGTCCTGTTGTATCTGTGTTTAGGATTCAGCTGTTAAAAGTGCTTTCTCAAGGATTTGATGACAGCTCTTGGTCACTTCAGACTAAAACCGGCAGGTAAACTTGATATTCATTATTTGCATGAATACATCGGTTAGATAGAATGTGCCGATGTGTCTACTTGTACATTGGAAATCTGCTTTTTTAGATTGTTATGGTTGCATTTGAGATTCATCTTGCTGGTTGTAGTACGATGCGAATGCACAAGAATAAAGTCTTAAACATGCCATCCATTTACTTGAATAACATGAAGTGTTTGCTGCGAAGACTTCATTTCTAAGAAAAATCGACTTAGAACCGTTCTGGTGACTCTTGCTTCTCTATCAGAAAGGAGCTGGAGTTTCTTGTCAACCTGAGATTAAAATGCTTGTATTTTCATATATCCGTGCCACGTTGTTTTTCAGAGCTGTTGGGTTTAAAGTAACAGCTAAAAGATAACCAATTGATGAGATATCTGGATATAATTACATGGACCCCGTTTGATAAATGATTGGTGGTATTACAGAATTGATGGGAGTAATGAGGTTTTGGAAACATATCTTGGGACATGTTACGTACATATACATAAGTTAGTTGGCTAGGCTCTTGAACCTATGTAGTTGTTTGCATATGGCGCTGTGCTAGAGTATCTTCAGAGTTGGTAATGCGTGCTTTCTCTTTTCCAGGCACGCAGGCGAAGTTCGTGTTATAATGCACTATGCAAATTCCAATGTAAGTGCCATACCTGTGATACCCCATCTTACTTCAGCCTTTCTGGATGTCTTATTGCATGTCTGAGATTTATAGTGTGCTGATAACTCTTTTACCATTCAAATGTTTCAGAAGCCTGCAACAAGTTATGCTCCGTCAGCTCCTCCATATGGATCGCCAGCAGCCTCTCTATACTCTACTCCACCAATGGCCACGGGTTCTTATCCACCCCCACCAGCAGTTTCCTACACACCTCCGGCAGCCTATCCCGCTCCTCATTCTTATTCTTCCTACCCTCCTAATCCTACAGCTTATCCACCACCACCAATGTACCATTCACAGCCACCTCCTGCTTATCCTGGACCTCATGGAGCACCTTCTCCTTATCCACCATCGCCATATCCACCGTCTCCATATGATCCATCTCATTACCACACAGGTAATTGTCTAATGATTAAAGCTACACACAATGACTAAATTTCATGACCTTCTTTAGTGGCTGATGTGTCACTCTTTCATTTGTTAATATCATCATATAAGATGTTCTATAAAACTTAGACAATGATTGGGAGTCACATCAACCACTGCAAGAAGTAACTGAGATTTTGTCATTTACGATAATCAGCAGTGTTTCTTAACTAAATATATTGTTTCTCCATTGTGAACTGTTGATAAAACTAAGTCTGAGGTTTACTTTTCTCTCAGGTGCATATCCCGGCGCCTATCCTCCCCCTCCATACTAAGACTCGAAGCTTGCCTTTCGTTTCGTGAAGAAAGTGTAATTACAGCTTAGTGACAGTTCTTTTGTACTTCTTTTGCTCTGAGTTCCAATATGTGACATTTGTAAAGCTTAGCATTGACTTACAGGAGCTCTTTTTGAAGCTGATATTATCTGGACACTATGTTTGGAACTTGGAAGGGGAAGGGGTACAGGGGATTTTACCATGATGACTGATTGTTATTCTGCCTGATTGAGTAGCGTGTACTCGTTGTTTATTGATCTTTTTGAATTGGGGTATTTCAAGTGCGATCCACTTTTTCTAATCAATTAAGTGCAAAAGGGTACGTTGTTAATCAGCACTCCTAATGATTCCGGTCGATAAAGACGTTCCTTTCGTTCCCGAACTAGCATGATTAACTTTGTGAAAATTAATACGAATCTTTTTGGCTAATTTCACAATGATTAAAGAGGCAATTTGAGTATCTTTTGCAGTGATGATTGGTTCTTGTTGAAATATTTGATGAGTCCAACTAATTCCAGCCAGATCCACTGTCATTTCTTTTGGTGACAAAAGTTTTGCTTAACGGGTTGGTCGTCTTTTGACAAAACTTTATAGTAAACATAGTTGGTCGCATGAGCATCATGGGCTTATTGACGACTTTACGTCCATAAATCTAACCACCTTGGGAAAAATAAGGAGAATCTTAGTACACATGTGCATCAAGACCCTTGAATAGAGGCTAAATATTGGGATAAATCATTCAGCATTTGAAGCATTTGATCAGTATATAAATAATAAAATATGTATTTCAAGCCCTAGATGTATGATTTTTTTGGGTACAATAATAGAAAGTCTTATTCTAGTGTTAGTACAACGCCCTATGATGCTTACAGGAAAACGATGGAGTCCCCAACTCTCTATAACCATGTGGTTTATTGTAAGTAACCCGCACTCATAATCAAAATAATTGTTTACTTTGAATTTTTTTATTTTTAATAAAACATAAAGTAAAAGTGAAAATTTAAAATGGACAATCATTTGGAGACGAAGACAATATTTAATATTTCCTCTTGTCGTTATTATAAAGCATAACCTAACACTAAAGTTGGTTCAAATTTGTGTTTTGTAAGATTTGTTACAAATTTGACAGGTAAAACACACGTTTAATCGCTACCATTAGTGTCTCGCCTAATTAAGCAGTTCCTTAGCATGCTCCTAGCAAGTCTACCTAGAGTTCCTTTATGAATTAGTCATACATACCAAGTAAAACACATCACATTGTGTACTACTATAGATAAAAGGGGGCATTCGTCACTGTCTTGATCATAGCTTCGAAGTTAAGGAGTACACAGAAACTATATACACAGTTTAGGAGCATGATGCTCTTCTCAGAATCAAGCCCATTCTGCGACAACTTTATAATATAAGATGAGTCTCGCATAGTCACATTACTCGTAGTCATTGACTGTGGGAAACGTGCCTCTTATATAGATATATACAAATTCTGAAACTTAACAAATGTTAATATAACATGCAGTATAATTATGATTATAGCATTTGAGAAACTGAGACGAATTGAAAATTTTACCAGTATATACATATGTAGAAGTAGAGTGTTGGATGAACAATATGAATGAGGGAGGTCACTGCATTCTTGCAGCACAATAATGAATGTTAAGTCACATTCAAACTGACTGGGGAAAAATTATGCAATCATCCATTCCCATGAATAGACCATTCAACAAGACTACTCCACTTGGTTCAGTTGGTTGTTGTGTTGACCATTTCATGAGTAATCACATGAGATTTTTAACGTCAAACCATCGAAGCCTATACATATGCATAAGCTTGGCTAGAATTTGAGATCGCTTTCGGTGTTCCACTTTCTCCCTCTCCTCTTTTTAGTCCCTTTTTTTCTACTAACGAGTGACCTTCTCAAAAGCCCTTACAAAGTTGCAAGTTACCATACAAACACTTGCTGATTAGGCACAAACTATTCACAAGCTGATCGAGTCGCATTCCCCGTACTTTGCAGAGGTTTTTGGGTTCTGAGACTCTTAGTACTCCCTCTGTCCGAAATTATTGTCTAATTTACATTTTCATTTTTAGTTCAAAATTCAAATTGTTCTAAAGATAAAAATCCAAATTTGATAGTGATTTTAATTTTTGAGACAGGAAGAATATATGACAATCTACAATGACATTGTTTCGTTAACGTCTCTACTCGTACACAATTATCTTATAATATGTCTATGGGCAATTGACATAATTGCATTTAACTAATAGATTTATATGTTCCCTTAGGGAATCCAGGAGAATACAGTAGTAGAATCAAGAAATTGCTCTTGTGAGTTGTCACCAACATAATTACCACTTTTCGGGTTTTATTGCGTGGGTTGTGAGCAAATACATGATTTTGACTCAATTATTTCAGACAATCGCTTAAAGGGTCCTTGTATTTGCTTCCCTCTTTGACAAGATCTTTGAAAGTGGAGGGAGGAATGATTAATGATTCATTTGTTAAAAAAAAAAAAAGAAAGAAAGTTGATTTGGTGTCCCTGGCATTTTTGAGTGAGTTGAGTTCCATCTTTAATCCCTACATCAATTGACAAAAACTTGGTGGGCCAATTTGACTTTTGTTACAAAAATGATGCAACGATTGGGTCTACTCTGAACTTTTAAGTGTATGGTTTAGTTCTTTCTTGGTCTTGTTGATTACTAATTTAAGGGGAAAAATAAAAACAAATAAAGAGGTAGTAAAAGATTAAAACATAGTTAAACTATTACAGATTGGAAGCCTACAATATCATATGTCAACCAAAGCTTCTTCACCGTAAGAGCGATCATATTGTCTGTCGCTTGGTTGATCTCTCTGCAGATAAGTTTTAAATGACAATCCTAGCAGTTCCCTTCCTAATTTATTTATATAGTTAATTAGCATTATAATTTTACAACTATGTGAAAGGTGATGTATTACCAGCTTAGTTAATAGTGTAGCTTGTTATTATTAATTATTGTTGCAACTGTCTTATCTTGTTTTGTGATTAATTGATTTTGCCCTTCTGGCTGGCTTTCACCTTCAAACATTACCTCGTTATACCCCACTCTACAAATTAAGAGTACACAATCTGATTATGTTCTACTCCCTTTACCTTTTTTTTTTTCCCGCATTGAATTTTAATATTTGTACTAAAATTATTAAAAATCTCAAAACTTAATATGGATTATTTTTTGGGACAGAGGAAGTAGTAACTTTTATATGATCAAGAATTGAGAGAAATGTGTAACAATTAATAGGCATATATGGTACTACATAAATCTTTTAGATATGGTCATGAATAGTTATCTTAAGAAATGATTGGCTCAAATAAAATTTTCTCTTCTCCTCCTTTTTAAAATTTTAACTTTTTCCCTATTTTAAAAAATTTCTTAAAATTAGATGTGAACCTACACTTAACTATCTGTTTGCCAGCTCGTTTTGCGTATGTGAAAGAAGTTGGTGGAAATCGATCTCGCATAGTGTTATGCTTCAGCCTTTACTATTGGGAAAAGCCTAAGAAGCCTTAGTGAAACTTATAAGAAGCCTAAGAAGCCTTGGTGGAAATCGGTATTGATCCCAAAAGATCCAAAATATTATTAGTGGACAACAGATTTGCTTCATTTGGGTACATGACATATCAAATGTATAATCAAAATAAGTGAAACTTATAATAGCAAAGCCAAAGTGATCATTGAATGATGAGTTTATTGACATGTTCCCCCGTGCTTTGTTTCAACATCAAACAAAGTCTTGATTGGTTAACCGAAGCACATGAAATGCACTTGTCCATTAAATTTTCGTTGCCGACTTTAATATCCTTTGGTAATATTCCTTTGACTCCCGACAGGAATTATTGTGCAGATTAGGGTAAGGTTTCACCTCATCACGTTCTGTTGTTACTAATCTCTCATCTTGTACGATTGATCATTTGCCCATTTGTTAGAGTCCAGACAAGCTTAGCGGCACTAGAGCTTTTGTGCTAACCTTTAAATCGCATGTATTGTCAAAATGTTAAGCATAAGTAAATTTACTTTAAATATCATTTTCTCTATGTCCCGAAAAATGATATACATAGTTTCTTTGTCTCAAAAAAATTCAATGTGGACTATTTTTTAAGGATAGAGAGGCTATTACTTATTTGCAAACGTCATCAAACTAATGCTACATTTGAAAACGGATCTCCATTCAATGAGAGTTTTTCATCCATTGAACAAGGAAATCCTGTTTTAATCTTTTAATATAATCATCAAAAAATGAGCTACTCCTCCATTCCAAAATAAGTGTCGTTTTAGAAAAATGAGAAAATTTCAAAATAAATATCGTTTTCGGATTCCAATGCATTTTTTGTCGAAAATTTCTAAACATACCCTCAAAAGAAATAATATTTTTGGTAAGCATTTATTTTTATGGGCTTGGTTGAGTATATTCTTGTAATTTAGCTATCTTATTTAAGTATTTTTTAAATTGTGTGCAAACTCTAGAAGAATACTTATTTTTTAGAACTGGAGGGAGTATTTTTTAAATTACAATACAAGGGGGTAAAAGAATGGATAAGTAAATAAGGATAATCAGCTCTAATTAATTGTGTGTGTACATAGAAACGGAATGTATTGAAGAAAGCAGAGCGACAACTTTATCAATTAGAGATGAAGTTTATAAAAATGCTGCAAAAATCTAAGCGAAATGACAGAAGATAGAGCCAAAGTGCAACTACTAGCAGTAGCAGTAGTAAAAAAAAAAACCTTACTTTTATACTTTTTTTATTAATTAAATTTATTACTCCACTCCCGTAGTAATACAGCCGACCCCTTCTGGCTGAGTTCCCAAATCTGTCTTCAAAACTGTATGGTTTTTTGTACTTTGTTTTCTGGGGGGGGCTCGTCAACCAAAATCCCAAAACCTAGCTATGAGACTTTTGTCCTTCGGTCAGTAATTCCTATGGCCTACAACTTTTACTCTCTCCATCATTTATTATAATACTACTACTATTATTATTACTATTATCATTATCATGGATCATGGTATACTGCAAGAAAGTAAAATGGCATCAATTTCAATATTAGGGGAATTAACCGATTTAATTAAATATAATGATATTGTTACACTGTTGAAATCAATATTTAGAGGGGGCAAATGACGCTACCGACTAATATTATGCAATATCCGGAGATGGATCAACCTATAATGTAAGAGATTAATATTAAATGACGAAATGAATCTAGATAAAATTCAATGATTATGTAAAAATGTTAGAATTAGTACTATTATATGATATGATAGCAGATTTATCTATGTTATCGAGATATTGACTGGTCATAAAAATAAGAAATTCCAATGTGTAGTATGGCCATAAAAAAAAAATTCTTAGGTGTCTTTTGATAAATGTTTATTAATCCCCATAAAAGGTTTGGTAAATAGTGAATGGAGTGGGAGAGGGTCATAATTCCTTAATTAGCTTATTCGGTTATTCCCAACCAAAAACAATAATAATTCGTATAATAATTACAATGAGTGGTGGTGTAGTTTTCATAGGGTCAGACTTGATGTGCGTGCCTTCAAACAAATACTCACCGAAAGCTTTGGCAGCAGAATTGGAAAAAGAAAAAGGTACAAATACTCATCATCTGTAAAAAGGTTAATACTCCTTACCAATTAACCTTATAATTTCATAAGTATAACCTCTCGTTCCTAGCAATAGTGTCAAAGGATGCAGAGGATTTCATAATTAATTTATTTCGATAAATGTATCCATGCACAATATAACCGTCTCTGCATTATATTCTATGTTTAATTTGGTCTGAATAGCGAACTTTATATTAACCAAAAAATAAAATAAAATAAAAAACTCTAATACGAGAAAAATAAGAGTCATGTTTGCTACGGTATATGAATTAGTTCAACAACAAGACTCTACTTTTGAAATACTCCCTCCGTCCAAAAAAAAAATCCAGTTTTAAAATGTACAACTTGTTAATTTCAGTTAACCCTATCAAGATACAACTCATTTTTTTATCTGAACTTCCATTTTTATCCTTCTTCTCTGAATCAGCCATTCATCGTCATCGATATATATCCCTTCCTCGCTGGAGAAACATCATCGTCGCCGCTCAATTCAAGAACTATAAACAGCCACTATAACCTAGCCACCAATACCATCAATCTACTATTTTCTCTTCACGTGTACTCTTGTTTTCAGACCGATTAACCGCAAAAATATCACAATTTTTTAACATAAAATCAAAGTAAAAAAACCACCTAGCTTCTTAGACAACAAAAAAAATAGCAGCCGTTTTGAGAAAAAGAAAAAAAATTAAGAAAATTTCAGCAACAAGATGAAGTAGTAGAGTTTGATTGGTGAAACGACAGTGGAGCTTAGCGGATCGATTGGGTAAATAGAACCTTTAACCTCCCACATACGAGAAAGAAAAATTGAAGCCTTGGAGGAATTAATGGTGGTGGTGGCGGCGGCGGCGGCAACACGTGGAGAGCATAACCGCATAATGGAATTGGAGTTGAAATTGGTGGTGACGGCGGCGGGCTGCTGGCGGTGGCACATGGTTAACTGATTAGAATTGCTGGAGTTGCTGGTGAAGAATACATCAGTCATTTTGTCTCTTTTAATTTTGACTTTTTTGAAAGCAGACTATTTTTTTTTGAGACAAGATTATTTATCAAATTGGACTATTTTTGTGGGACGGAGGGAGTATAAGAATGATATTGAACTATAAATTCTAAGCCAATCGAAGGAGCAATTGATATAACCTTCAAATTGTAGAGTGCGTTTAACAATGTTAGAAAAAATTTAAGACCATATATGCAATTTACCGGATTTTGAAGGGAAAAAAAGAAAAGAAAAGGAAAAATCAAACCAAAAATCTCTGTGATAAGGAGTATATAAAGAAAGGACAAGCGTGACATCCACTCTGATAAAATCTCTTCCTTTTCTCTTCTTTCTCTCATTCTTTTCTTTTCTTTTCTTTCTTCTTTCTTCCTTCTCTGTTTTTTATGAAAAACAGAGGGTTGCAGAGAGAAAGAGAGCAGTAGATTGGGGAATGGGAATGAGGACCCTTTCTTTTCTTCTTCTTTTCTCTTTTGTATCATGAACTGCAGAAACAGTACACAATTCCCACTTCAACCACAAAAGGGACCTCTCCTCTTTGCAGAAGAAGAAGAAGGAAAAATGGCAATTTTAGAGCTTAATAATACTAATAATGTCATTACTCATTCTGAAAAACCATCATTCTCTGTTGATGACCTTTACTGTGAAGAAGAGAAATGGGGTGATGTTGAGGAAGACGAAGAAGATTACAGTTTGACTGGAAATGGAGCAAAGTCAAACGACCATCTTGACCGTTCCTCTTCTCCTTTGGTCTTGTTGGAGCAAGATTTGTACTGGGAAGATGAAGAGCTTCTATCCCTTTTCAGTAAAGAGAAGGAGACACATGTTTTTGTTGGTTCTTCCAATATTGAGAAAGATCCGATTTTGTCAGCTGCCCGGAGAGAAGCTGTGGATTGGATTGTGAAAGTCAATGCGGTTTATAGATTCTCTGCTTTGACCGTCGTTCTTGCCATTAATTACCTCGATAGATTCCTCTGTAGCCTTGATTATCAGAAGGATAAGCCATGGATGATTCAACTTGCATCTGTTACTTGTCTTTCCTTAGCTGCAAAAGTGGAAGAAATCAACGTTCCTCTTCTTTTAGACCTCCAAGTAAGACCTCAAATGAGCTTGCTTTGATGTTTTTTCATGTTTGATGAACTTTTAATTTAAGTGTTCTTTCTTTTGTGTGTGTGTGTGTGTGCATTTAGGTTGTAGATTCAAAGTACGCATTTGAAGCCAAAACCATTCAGAAAATGGAGCTATTGATTCTGTCCACACTGAAATGGAGGATGAATGCCGTGACCCCATTATCATTTCTTGATCACATTATAAGAAGGTTGGGATTGAAGAGCCATCTCCATTGGGAATTTCTCATGCGATGCGAGTCTCTCCTCCTCTCTGTTTTGGCTGGTTAGATAATTGAAAGTACAAAGTTCAATTTGTTTGTTACAATAAAGTTGCTGAAAGATCTCCTCAAAGATTTGATTTTTGGGACCCTTTTTTTTTTTCAGATTCAAGAGTTGTACGTTATATGCCCTCTGTGTTGGCATGTTCAACAATGTTACACGCTATTCATCAAGTGGATCCATGTAATGCTACTGATTACCAAAACCAACTTCTTAATGTTCTCAACATTAGCAAGGTAAGCCTCTTTTTTTTTCGTTTGGGTCAAAATTTCAGATTGTATCATGCTCATTGTGAAACCATTTTGTTGCTAATTAGCAGAAGAAAGTGAATGAATGCTATGAGCTGATATCGGAGCTGACCAAATCTCACAAGCGCAAGTTTGAGTGTGATTTTGGAGGAGTGGTTCCATGCAGCCCAAATGGCGTAATGGATGCATTTTTCAGCTCAGATAGCTCAAATGATTCATGGGTCACAATGGATGATTATTATTCCTCTGTTTCTTCTTCACCTGAGCCTCAGCCTCTGATGAAAAGAAGCAAAATTGGTCAAGAACAGAAGATGAGATTGCCATCATTGAGCAGAGTATTTGTCGATATCATTGGCAGCCCTCGTTGACTCATGTTCATAAATTTTCACTTACTTTTTATGAACATATATCCACCAGCTCATTTCAATAACCTCTGTTCAAAAAACGTGAAATTATAGCTTGGAATCATCGAATCTCCTTTGAGCTTCAGCATTCGGATGATGAAGTAATGGTGGCAACTGGCAAGTACTGCATGAGGCTGATTTTTGGGTATAGAGACATAATAATGAATATTATTATGATTAGTACTAAAAAATTTAATTCAATGATAATACTTATTGTACTCCTTTAGCTTAGCCAGGCTTTAAGGAGTAAAAGTATTATTCATTTTATGAGAGGAGGAAGTAAAAAAGCAGCAAAAAATTAAAGAGAAGAGAATATCTGCTGCGCTCTGTTTAATTCCCTCTAGTTTTTGTCGTTCTCTCTCTCCCTTGCTCGAGTCTCATTCAAAGCAAAAAAACAGTTGTAGTATAATGTGGACATATATAATTTTCTATTGTTTATTTATTTATTAAATTTAACTAATTCATGATATTCTTCTTCTTTTTTTTTTCTTTTTGACCAACATGATATTCTTCTTGATATCTATAAATCTTTTTTTGCATAGGTTCTTTTTGTTTCCCAAATAAAAAAGAAAAATAGGTCCCCTGCTACGGGGGAAGTCCGTGATCAATTTATTAGGTACTACAAGAGTGCATATATTATAATAATTGCTCTGCGTTGATTTCATATATAAATAAATAAATCATAATAGTAATAGGTGTAAATAAGTTACCAGATATATTTCTCAAAAAAAGTACTCAATCTGTCCCAAAATTATTGTACAGTTTGAGATTTTACTTTTAATACATTTTGAACTAAAAATGAAAACTCAAATTGGACAATAATTATGGGACGGAGGGAGTATACCAGATGTTCTGGGTTACATTTTATTTTTTTCCCCTAGAATGGAGTAGAATTTTACAGATTATATAGAGATGCATGTCGGTAATTCAATAACCAAAAAAAAAAAAAAAGAAGGAAAGACTTACCCAAGTTGAATATAGATTAATTTTAAATGAAGCATAATAATAATACTAATAAAATGAAGATTTTGTAAATACTACTAGTTAACAAAACGGAAAATACAATAATATGGACTATTCCAATATATTAACTTATTATTTAATTTTACGATTTGTTTGTGATGTAATACTTGAGGGGAAATCGAAATGGGAGGAGGGTAGTTGGGGAGCTTTGACTTCGTTGGGGTTGGGGGAACTATACCTAGCTTTGGAGTCTTGTCAGTCATAGCCAGTAAAAGAACACAAAGTAATTCTTCCCTGCTCCACTTCATTTATTCTTCCACTTTTTAAATAGAATGAACCACAAAATTAATTATTTAAATATTAGGTAATTCCATTACAGGTCATCAATCAAATTTATTTGTAAAATAAGTGACCATATTAAGGAAAAGATTCATGCGAGATCATTCTGTTAATTTTTCTGTTAAATACTGACGGAAATCCATTTTTCACATACTTTTGAATTTAGGGATATTTTTTGTCATTTTGTTTTTTTAAAAAAAATTATTTTTTTTAAAAAATTTAATTTTAATTTTATATTTTTTAAAAAATTCTTATTCTCATACTTCCTAACTTATTTATGTTGGTAGTATAATTTCTAAATTTTAAAAATTAATTTAACTTTTGTATTTTAGCTTATAGATTATAATTTTTTTAAAAAAATTAAAGAAATGAAGAAGAAAAATTCAAGTTGAAGCAACCATTAAAATTAAGAGTTTATCAATTTAAACCAAAAAAATAAAATAAAAATTATCTACGACTAGTTGTTTCTTCTAGGTTATTTAATTATTTTCAACTCGATTTAATTATTTAATTATCCATTTTCACATTTACTTCAATTTGAATTTCTCTTCTTTATTTTTTTCTTCTTCATTTTTTTTAAAATCTAGAAGTTAAGATACAAATGACAAATTAATTTTTGAAATTTAATAATTATTATAGTACCAACATATACAAGTTAGAAAATATAAAAGAAGAAAATTTGTTTAAAAAAAATTAATTAAAATATCAATATATTTTAACATGCTTTTGAGTCCAGGGACAATTTTCATCATTTATATTTTTTAAAAGTTAAAATTTTAATTATTTTTTTTACAATTATTCTTCTTTTACTCTCTAGCTTGTATATCTTGGTACTAGTATAGTTAATAAGTTTCAAAAATTAATTTGTTATTTTTATCTTAACTTCTATTATAAAAAAATGAAGAAGGAAAAAAATATAGAAGAACAATTCAAATTGAAGTTAATGTGAAAATTAATAATTAAATAATTAAATTGAGTTGAAAATAATTAAATAACCTAGAAGAAACAACTTATCTTAGCTAATTTTTTAGTTTCTCTTTTAGTTTAAAATGGTAAAATATAAAGTTTCATGTTTACTCCAACTCGATTTTTTTTCTTCATTTCTTAAAATCTTTTTAAAAATTTATTATCTAGAAGTTAAAATACAATTTAAATTAATTTTTGAAATTTATAAATCATACTACGAACATAAACAAAGAATTTTAAGAATAAATTAAAATTAATTTTTTTAAAAAAATTAAAATTTTAAAGATAGAAAATGACAAAAATACCCCTGAACCTAAAAGAATGTAAAAAATAGATTTCTATCGCTATTTAACGGCCAACATTAACAAAATGATCTCGGATGATTTTTTTACTTAGTACAGTGAGCTATTTTACAAATAATTTGATTAATGACCTGTGATGGGACTACCATATAATTCAATGACATGTTTCGTGATTCACTTTTTTAAATAAAAACTTTGGTCACTTGTAGTAAATTCAGCTAAAATTTATAAAAAGGGTTTTAAAATTTGATATGTATTCATTTTTTACAATAATATTGGTGATTTTAAAATTTTACGAGTTTCTTTTTTTTTGGTTTGTTTCTTTTGTAATGTATATTTTGATATATAATACAAAATAATGGTACGATTGAAATTGACTTGTATTCATTCAATTGACTATGAGTATTAATCTCACTAGTTATATCGAATAACGAAAGAATAAAGAATTAATTAAAGGAGTTGTGGTAGAGTAGAATCTCGTTATGTGTATGGAATAGCCATAAATTAATTACTTAATGAATTGTTTTACCTATCAAAATATTTGTAGCAGAGAATTATTCAATATTGTCGACAATAAAGAACATGCAAATGAGGGGGAAAAAAAGAAGTAAAAAACGCATAGGCCAAAAAAAAAAAAACTTAAAATCATAAATATTAGAGACAAAAATGCTATTGGGTAGAAATTGACGTTTCAACCACGAGTAAAAAATAGAAGTGGGGGAAAAAACCCATCGATTGCTTACAGAAATGTCAGAACTTTTTGACCTACGGGCTATCGTCCCTAATTTAGCTACCTATAGTACTAGTACTCGTTTACTAGTATGAAAAAAGAAAATAAAAAAATAAACCAGGGGCCAAACCTCTCTCTTCTCTCTGCAACATTAATGCGATTGTTATTTTTGTCCGAGACATTTTTGTAGAGCAAAACCCTTCGTGTTCGTCGATCATCAAATTCGAGCTTCATTTAATGAATCCCTAACAAACGTAACGTAACGTTTCGTGTGTTTTACGTGACTTATTTATTAACACCCCTCCATCTTCTTGTTGTAGTTTCTTTTTTTTTTTTTTGGAAACTCCATATTACTACTAGAGACTCCATTCCCGTTAAAACATTTTCAAAACTTGAGCTAATATTCCAGTCACAGTTTTTAGTTTACAGCTACAAGTTTATTACTCCCACAATACAAATAGTTTTATAGTAGTACATTGCATTGTTTTGCGGTACTCTAAAAAATAATACTACTTCCGTCTCAAAAAAATAGTCCACGTTGAGTTTTCAAATTTGTACTAAAAACGGCACAGAATTTAAAAGTCAGTGTGAACTATTTTTGTGGGACGGAGGGAGTAGTACAATTAATTTCACATGTTCTAAAATAATGTTTTGGTTTATGTTACTACGTGATAAATCATGCATGTATAAATCAAAGCTCATGAGAGCTGCTGATGCAATATTTGCAATTATAATAGCAATGATAAACACGAATCCCCTTTTGTGGTAGCTTTGGTATTGGTGTGCTTTTTTCACGTGTTTTTTTACTCTCAATTGGTTTTCCTTTTCCTTCTTTTTCCTTTCTTCCCACCAGAGTTTTAGAGAGTATCAATGCAATTATTTTTTCTCAGAAAAAAAAAAGAGAAAAAGAAAGAAGAGGTGGGAAGATATTTTGTAACAGCAGGCGCGCCAACTTGGATGAAGTCAAAACTCAAAGTACTACTACTACAACAGTTGGTTTGTATAGAAGGTTCTTAGTTCTTACTTTCTTACTACTAGAAAAATCACCCTATTGAGTGGGACTGGTAAATCTAGGAGACACGTGTCTTCAGTAAATATTACTCCACTTACTACCAGCTCCCTAAGTTCTGACTTTTCGTATTAATCATTCTGCAATCAGACACAAATGGTTGTTAAGTTGCATTTACCCCTATCCTATAATTGTCCAGAAATAATAAAAGTATATTCATTCCGGCCTGACATAATTATTTAATTTAAATTTTCATTTTGATCATTTGGAGAGGAAAAAAAATATAAATTCTCTCTGTCTCAAAATTATTATCCAGTTTAGATTTTTATTTTGATTTAATTTATGCTAAAAATAAAAATTTAAACTGAATAATAATCTCGGGATAGAGAAAATATATATTTACTATGATCTATGACAGAATGATAGTGAACAACGAAAAATGATCGTGACAAGTATTTATTGCAAGTTGTAATTTGATATGATGAGATACTTTCACATTAATTTAGGCGTAAAATGATCAATATGTGGACTTATGCACTCGTGAAAATGTAGAAAAATGACGCACAATCATCAAAAAAAGCTCTTTGTTTGGGAGCGGTTAAGTGTATTTTTCAATTTGACTGTATGCCTCAAAACACACGTTAATATACATGTGACGAAAAGAACAAAAAATGATTAACTAGAGATGGGATATCCGTTAATGGACCTTAATGGTTGATGCACTTGGCATAAAACATTCCCTAAAAAGGCATTTGTTTTTCAAATAAAGAAAGAAATATAAAGTGAAATTGGAGGGAGACAAAAATCTTCGAGATTACGGAACATGTTTTCTCCCTTTCACTCACACAACTCTCCAAAGTCAAGTCTCCCATAAATTATAATACGTTTGTTTAGTTTTTTAGTGTATTTTTAGGTATTTTTTGTATTGAAAATATAAAAAAATATATTAAAAATGTTAAAAGGTATGTTGAGATGCGACAATTATTATTATTCAATTCTAAAAAAACCAACTAAAAAAGAAAACAAATAAAGTCTAAGCTACGTATAATATGACTTTTTGTTGTTTCGCGTCAACAGTTGGAACAAGTGCGTCTTTCTTTATCTGTGTTTATCAAAGTGTTTTTACCGTCACTAATCCAACAGTTACATTCTTTAATGGACAGTTTTTGTGATCTAAAAATTCATCAGATTCTTAATTAAATTATCCAATTGATATGATCACAATCAATCACCAGATTCTCAACTGA